GTTTTCAACTTTACTAATATTTTTTTCGACAGTGTCTAATCTACTATTTTTTATTTTTATTTATTTATTTATTTTAAGATGGAGTCTCACTCTGTCACCCAGGCTGGAGTACAGTGGTGTGATCTCGGCTCACTGCAACCTCTGCATCCCTGGTTCAAGATTCTCTTGCCTCAGCCTGCTGAGTAGTTGGGATTACAGGCATGTGCCATCACGCCCAGCTAATTTTTGTTTTTTTAGTAGAGATGGGGTTTTGCCATGTTGCCCAGGCTGGTCTCAAACTCCTGACCTCAGGTTATCAGCCTGCCTCGGACTCCCAGAGTGCCAGGATTACAGGTGTGAGCCACTAATCTACTATTAAAATCATTGAGTTCTAAAAACAATTTCAGATATTATATTTTTCATATCTAATAGTTCCATTGGGCTTGTTTTTTATTTTCCATGTTTCTGTTCATTGTTTTTTGTATTTTATTTCACATTTTGAACAAATTTGTTGTCTGCTAGCTCTCATGTTATTTCTGAATCTGTGTCTTTTGACTGATTTTCATGCAGTTATGGGTCACATGATTCTACTTTGTTGCATGTCTATTAATTTTTGTTTGAATGATGGTCATTGTGGATTCAGTTGTTGAGTGACTGGATTTTATTGTCTTTTTTTAAAAAAAGTAATGGACTTTTTTTGTGTGTGTCAGGTAAGTAACTTGCTGACCTAATTAATCCTTTCAAGGTTTGTTGTACATTTTGGGGAGGTAAATGTAGAGTAGCCTTACTCTAGGGATAGTTGTGCCCCATTACTAAGATGTGATCTTTTGTGGCTTCACTGAATGTACTGGGTAATCGATGAAATAGTTCCACCCTGGCTGTGCAAATCTGAATATCTCTGAGTCCTCTGTGAGTTTGGGAACCGTTCATCTGTCATTTTGTTTGCCAAGCTTCAAGTTACACACACACATGTCCTCAGCAACAGCCCAAGGGATGCAGCAGATTTCCGGTGCTCATTTTCTGAGTGGTTCTATCTTGTGTTGTGGTCTTTCCTACAAATTACAGCTACCTTGGCCTCCATGCACTCTGATATTTGTCTCCTCAAGGCAGTGAAACCACTGTGTTCTAAATTAATTCCAGGAAGAAAGCCAGAATGATTGTGGTACTCAGCTGTTTTATTTCCCTTCTTGCAGCAATCACCGTCATGGACTTCCTGTTGTCCAATGTCCTCATAGTTGTTGTTTTTTTTTTTTTTTTTCATATATTTCATCTAGTTGTCTAGTTGTTTATGGAGGGAAGGCAAGACAGGTTCCAGTTATTCCATCATGATAAAAAAATTCAAAATAATTTTAAAAACTCACTTTATCTTGAATAAAATCTTAGTGAAGTATATGAAAGAGTTATAGTCAAAGCACCCAGTCAGTGCCTGCCACATAGAAGGCATATATTTAATACTAGATATTATGATTATGGTAATTGTCATCAATATCTTTTAATGGGGACTGTGTTAACCCAAGGACATACTAACAGTGGTAACTTTGGATGGTTTTGGCTTTTTGCATTTCCTAATTTACCCAAGGAAAGCAAGCAGAATCCGTATGCTTGTAAATTTGCATAAGTACTACCAAATGTGATACCCAGTGTACTTACATTTTGCCTCATAGAAGGTAATACATTGAAAAAAAAATTGACTGGGCACAGTGGCTCATGCTTGTATTCCTAGCACTTTGGGAGGAGGCTGAGGTGGCAGATCACCTGAGGTCAGGAATTCAAGATCAGCCTGGGCAACAAGGCAAAACCCCATCTCTACTAAAAATACAAAAAATTCACTGGGCATGGTGGCACATGCCTATAATCCCAGCTACTGGGGAGGCTGAGGCAGGAGAATCGTTTGAACCTGGGAGGCAGAACTTTCTGTGAGCCAAGATTGTGCCACTGTACTGAAGCCTGGGTGATAGAGTGAGATTTTGTTAAAAAAAAAAAAAAAAAAGAAAAGAAAAAAAAAATAATTATAAAAGACTTAAAGTTCAGACCTTGATTGCTAGCCTTAGTCAAGTAGAAATTTCATTTTGTATTTTCTTAATAGATGTTATTAAGAATAACAGTGACTTAAGAATAATTGTTTTTTCTAACTCAAATTTAAAAAGAGTAAGTGAGCCAACTGAAAAGTCAATTGGCTCAGGACAGCAAAAGCTCAAAGATTTATTAGTTAACTATTAGTAAAGAAAGATAATACTGTATACTAAGAACTCTTATAATAAAATAAGTTAAAATGAATATTGATTGAGAATGGAATGTTGTGGTGTTGAAATGCATATACAAACATAATGCTGTTAATATGGGGAAACGCAAATGAAGCCAAACTTATTTTCTGTAATTCATAGTGCATCTTCAAACACTTTGCATAAGACCAACAGTAAAAAGCATGATCATCGTAAGGCAGAGAACAACAGTCATCCTTGGGTGTCTCTGGTTGAAAATTCCCTTGAGGGACTCCATCATTTGAGTCACCTCATATTCCTATTGCCAGCCAGCATAGAACACAGCAAAGGCCTCAAACTGAGAGCCAGTTGAGGAATAACTGATTCAACTAGATGCGTAAGGAGTGTTTGTCTATAAAAGAGGCCATTAGAATAAACCCAAAGGTATCTGAGAACTGTGCATCACTCCAGGGTTCTGCCAGAGCACATATGTTGCAGAAATAGCTGTCAGCGAATTGGGGCCCTGACTGGCATATGATTGATTTCATTAATTTGCATCATTTAACCCCCAGTGTAACTCTAAGAACATTATGGTGATGAAAACCCGAATGAGATAAGTTTGGCCCTAGTTGGATTTTAGATACTGTATTTGATAAATGTCTACAGCAAGAGTTCATCCTATTTTCTTCCCCGCCATCTCCATTCTTACCAAATCTGTCCAATCTAGTGGGTCCCAAGAACAGACAATTCTAGGGACCTTGGGCTTCTCCTGACTATGTTAGAGCCCCTTAGTGATCCAAGATTTAATACATGCATGGGGCTGCCCTGGCTCTTGATTGTGGCATTTGCCTTCTTGGAGAAGCTCTGGACTGGAGCAGGCCTGGATGGACTGAACTGATAGCCCTGAGACTGCATGGAGTTTAGGAAATGAAAAGCATATGTCATTGACATTGGACTTCCTGAAGCAGAGTGAGGCTTTTGAGTTTTGCCAGATCGTAGCAGTAGGGAAATGTGGGCTGTTTCTGTAGCTATTCTTGTAAAGGTAACAGAGCGTCTCATTTCAGAATTTGCAGTGTTCAGATTGCCAGCTAAAGAAAGCTATTCTTTAGTAAATATCTCCAATTACACTTATCTTCCTAGATGGTTGGAAAGAAGTACTGATGTATATGCTTGTTAAGGTCTTTGATTTCATCCTTTTAACATTTCTCAGCACGTTCTTGGTTATATGTCTCTTCAACCAGTCTACCATGTGATGCCATTTGTAATAGTTTAATCTATGACTGTTTCTACTAAGAGTGATTGCCCCATTAATGGAAAGACAGCCTTTGAAATAGGCAATCAATTTCACGTTTTTTACTATTGATGTAAGTGACTATATTTGTTGCAGGAAACAAATTCATGTATATATTACTGAATTATAATCAACCTAGTAGGACCTAGAAATTGTAAATGTTTTGTTCAACAGATTTTATTTAAAAATAAAATAGTAAGATGCCAGGTATAAAAACAGTGTGAGATAAAACAGACATAGAATATTTTAGTGTGAGATTCCTCCTCTAAAATGGCCTGAGTGACATACAGTGGTTTTATAATAGGTAAACCAATAGCAGATAGAAAAGCAATTTAATGCTAATTAAGTGAGCCCAGAAGTAATCACTTGAGTGTATACTGAAACATTGCTTTTGAAAAATGGACAAAAATATCTTTAGTCCATGACCATAGCAATGCTAGGAGTTTTGTTTTCTCATCACTTTCTGCATTTATCTAAGCAAAGGAGGGCTTATTTTGAAAATTTCTTTTTCTCGTTTTCAAACTTTTGAGAGAGGGAGTGCCTCAATTTGAAATATCCTCTTCTCTTCACCTTTGATGAGATGCCTTTGAATTTAAGAAGTGTATGCATTTAGTATTGACTCATAATGATGGCTTTAAAATCACTTGAAGATGGCTTTGTTCTAAGGTGATGTTCGAATCACTGACATTGGCTCTGGACCCTGGTTTGTAATTTCTATCAGGTTCTCTCTGAAGCACACAAAGATGTCCTGAAAAGTTGGGTCTAGCCAGGGTCATGAGCTGAAGGTCACATTCTTCCTTATGGGAGAATAACTGACAGCTTCCCTTGGGCCACCATTTCTCAGAAAAAAATTAGGTCAGGTTTAGATTAACCCTAGTCTTCACAACTTCTCTTCTTAGGTGGACCTGATGCTTTTCCTGGGCATTTCATGTCCCCCAACTTCAAGCAGAATCACATCCAGGGATTTGGAAAGTGAAGTAATCTTTCCTAATTGACTCAGGCTGGGTGCACAACTATGTCCTAGAACTTTCCAGACAAGAGTCAAATGTCCAGTCTCACACACTCAAATACTTGGCTACAGAATAATCATAAACTGTGAGTTTTCAGCTTTCTGGAGTTTCAGAAAAATAAATAATAAGATTCAGCTGATGAATTCCAACATAAAATAGACTTCTTTAATAAAATCAAGACCCCAACTTCACTTTTTCTGATCCTGGAAAGATTTATTCAGACATGGGAATCAACCTCACTTAACTAGCTAAATGAAACTAGTTAACTAGTTAAGTAGACTAAAGGAAAGATTCTTTTTACCAGTGCTATATATATATTTTTTTCCTTTTTAATTTTACTGAAGTAAAAGATCCCGTGTCTGGAATTTTCTGAGAGTTCTGCACTTTGTACAAACAGCAGGTTAGGATCTATTGCTAAAGGTTATGACCCTTAGCCTGGGATCTTTACTTTTTGGCCAGAAAAAATGGCAGGAACCATGGGTGCAGCGGTTTCACCACTGCTTTTTCTTATCTCCCTAGGTGAAGAGTGTGACATTGACATAAATGAATGTGACAGTAACCCCTGCCACCATGGTGGGAGCTGTCTGGACCAGTCCAATGGTTACACCTGCCACTGCCCGCATGGTTGGGTGGGAGCAAACTGTGAGATCCGTAAGTATTTCTGCAGTTCAGCCACTGTTATTTAACATTTATAGCTGTTACTTAAGCATTTTCCTTCATCAAAAAGATGCCGACTGTGACCAGAAAGCCCCCGAGTCACTGGCCGATGAGGCAGTGAGTCCCAGAGGGACAACCGGAGCTACACTTGTCCCATTTTGGTGCTCAATACCCAGTTTAGCATGTTTGCCCCCTGCATTCTGCTGCCCCCACTCCTTCCTGAGTCCGAAGCCAGCCTTTCCCCAGGATGAGAATTTTCAGATGTCATCCAGAGTTCACTGCTACTCATGCAGCCAAAAATGTGCTGAACAGAAAAGCATTAGAATCATATCAAAAAATAGAGTCTTTGTGTTGAAAATTAAAACACACACACACACACACACACACACACACACACAGAATGTAAATTCCCTTTTTATTTATGTGTTCAAGTGTCTTCAGATGTATTAAGTTCCATCTATTGCCTGGAGAAAAGTTCAGTGAAGACAAGCTTAAAAGAAAAGCTGAAAACATTTTGGGCTGCTTAAAGCTGAATGATCTCTTAGGGTGAACAAATAGAAGTTTGATAAATGTCTTAATCAAGATTTTACACCTTAAAACAATGTATCTACTAGGATTGAAGTGAAAATGTGAACTGACATGGAATTGAGCCAGCCTGCCTGCCTGCCTGCCTTCCTTCCTTCCTTCCCTCCTTCCTTCCTTCCTTCCTTCCTTCCTTCCTTCCTTCCTTCCTTTTTCTTTCTATTATACTTTAAGTTCTGGGATACATGTGCAGAACATGCAGGTTTGTTGCATACACATGCCATGGTGGTTTGCTGCACCCATCAACCTATCATCTACATTACGTATTTCTCCTCATGCTATCCCTCCCCTAGCTTCCCACCACCTGACAGGCCCCAGTGTATGATGTTCCCCTCCCTGTGTCCATGTGTTCTCATTGTTCAACTCCCACTTATGAGTGAGAATATGTGGTGTTTGGTTTTCTGTTCCTGTGTTAGTTTGCTGAGAATGATGGTTTCCAGCTTAATCCATGTCCCTGCAAAGGACATGAACTCATCCTTTTTTATGGATGCATAGTATTACATGGTGTATATGTGCCACATTTTCTTTTTCCAGTCTATCACTGATGGGCATTTGGGTTGGTTTCAAGTCTTTGCTGTTGTGAACAATGCTTCAATAAACATACATGTGCATGTTTCTTTATAGTAGAATGATTTATAATCCTTTGGGTATATACCCAGTAATGGGATTGCTGGGTCAAATGGTATTTCTGGTTCTAGATCCTTAAGGAATTGCCACACTGTCTTCCACAATGGTTGAACTAATTTACATTCCCACCAAGTGTATAAAAGTGTTCCTATTTCTCCACATCCTCTCCAGCATCTGTTGTTTCCTGACTTTTTAATGATCACCATTCTAACTGGTGTGAGATGGTATCTCATTGTGGTTTTGATTTGCATTTCACTAATGACCAGTGATGATGAACTTTTTTTCATATGTTTGTTGGTTGCATAAATGTCCTTTTGAGAGGTATCTGTTCTTTTGAGAGGTATCTGTTCATACCTTTTGCCCACTTTTTGATGGGGTTGTTTGTTTGTTTTTCTTGTAAATTTGTTTAAGTTCTTTGTAGATTCTGGATATTAGCCCTTTTTCAGATGGATAGATTGCAAAAATTTTCTCCCATTCTGTAGGTTGTCTTTTCACTGTGATGATAGTTTCTTTTGTTGTGCAGAAGCTCCTTAGTTTATTAGATTCCATTTGTCAATTTTGGCCTTTGTTGCCATTGCTTTTGGTGTTGTAGTCCTGAAGTCTTTGCCCATGCCAATGTCCTGAATGGTGTTGCCTAGGTTGTCTTCTAGGGTTTTTATAGTTTTAGGTCTTATGTATACGTCTTTTATCCATCTTGAGTTAATTTTTGTATAAGGTGTAAGAAAGGGATCCAGTTTCAGTTTTCTGCATATGGCTAGCCTGTTTTCCCAACACCATTTATTAAATAGAGAATCTTTTCACCAATGCTGTTTTTGTCAGGTTTATCAAAGATCAGATGGTTGCAGACGTGTGGTGTTCTGAAGCCTCTGTTCTTTTCCATTGGTCTATATATCTGTTTTGGTACCAGTATCATGACGTTTTGGTTACCGTAGCCTTGTAGTATAGTTTGCAGTTACGTATCATGATGCTTCCAGCTTTGTTTTTGTTGCTTAGAATTGTCTTGACATACAGGCTCTTTTTTGGTTCCATATGAAATTTAAAGTAGTTTTTTCTAATTCTGTGAAGAAAGTCAGTGGTAGCTTGGTGGGGATAGCATTGAATGTATAAATTACTTTGGGCAGTATAGCCATTTTCAGGATATTAATTCTATCTATGAGCATGAAATGTGTTTTCATTTGTTTGTGTCTTCTCTTATTTCCTTGAACAGTGGTTTGTAGTTCTCCTTGGGAGGTCCTTCACATCCCTTGTAAGTTGTATTTTTATGTATTTTATTCTCTTTGTCACAATTGTGAATGAGAATTCACTCATGATTTGGCTCTCTGTTTGTCTATTATTGGTGTATAGGAAAGCTTGTGATTTTTGCACAATGATTTTGTATCTTGAGACTTTGCTAAAGTTGCTTATCAGCTTAAGGAGATTTTGAGCTGAGACAATGGGTTTTCTAAATATACAATCATGTCATCTGCAAACAGAGACTATTTTACTTCCTCTCTTCCTATTTGAATACCCTTTATTTCTTTCCCTTGCCTGATTGATCTGGCCAGAACTTCCAATACTATGTTGAATAGGAGTGGTGAGAGAAGGCATCCTTATCTTGTGCCAGTTTTCAAAGGGAATGCTTCTAACTTTTGCCCATTCATTCTGATATTGGCTGTGGTTTTTCATAAATAGCTCTTATTATTTTGAGATACGTTCTGTCAATACCTAGTTTATTGAGAGGTTTTAGCATGAAGAGGTGTTGAACTTTATCGAAGGCCTTTTCTGCATCTATTGAGACAATCATGTGGTTTTTATCATTGGTTCTGTTTATGTGATGGATTACATTTATTGATTTGCATATGTTGAACCCTTGCATCCTAGGGATGAAGCCAACTTGATCGTGGTGGATAAGCTTTTTCTTTTTCTTTCTTTCTTTTTTTTTCTGGATGGAGTCTCGCTCCGTCACCCAGACTGGATTGCAGTGGTGGATAAACTTTTCGATGTGCTGCTGGATTTGGTTTGCCAGTATTTTATTGAGGATTTTTGCATCAATGTTTATCAGGGATATTGGCCTGAAATTTTCTTTTTTTAGTTGTGTCTCTGCCAGGTTTTGGTATCAGGATGATGCTGGCCTCATAAAATGAGTTAGGAAGGAGTCCCTCTTTCCTGTTGTTTGGAATAGTTTCAGAAGGAGTGGTACCAGCTCCTCTTTGTACCTCTGATAGAATTTGGCTGTGAATCCATCTGGTCCTGGGCTTTTTTTGGTTGGTAGGCTATTAATTACTGCCTCAATTTCAGAACTTGTTATTGGTCTATTCAGGGATTCAACTTCTTCCTGGTTTAGTCTTGGAAGAGTGTAAGTGTCCAGGAATTTATCTGTTTCTTCTAGATTTTCTAGTTTATTTGCATAGAGGTGTTTATGGTATTCTCTGATGGTAGTTTGTATTTCTGTCAGATCAGTGGTGATATCCCCTTTATCATTTTTATTGTGTCTATTTGATTCTTCTCTCTTCTTTGTTTGTCTTGCTAATGGTCTATGTATTTTGTTAATCTTTTCGAAAAACCAGCTCCTGGATTCCTTGATTTTTTTTGAAGGGTTTTTCTTGTCTCTGTCTCCTTCAGTTCTGCTCTGATCTTAGTTATTTCTTGTCTTCTGCTAGCTTTTGAATTTGTTTGTTTTTGCTTCTCTAGTTCTTTTAATTGTGATGTCAGGGTGTTGATTTTAGATCTTTCCCACTTTCTCCTGTGGGCATTTAGTGCTATAAATTTCCCTCTAAACACTGCTTTCGCTGTGTACCAGAGATTCTGGTACATTGTGTCTTTGTTCTCATTAGTTTCAAAGAACTTATTTATTTCTGCATTAATTTCGTTATGCACCCAGTAGTCATTCAGAGTAGGTTGTTCTCTTTCCTTGTAGTTGTGCAGTTTTGAGGGAGTTCCTTAATCCTGAGTTCTAATTTGATTGCACTGTGGTCTAAGAGACTGTTTGTTGTGATTTCCATTCTTTTGTAATTGCTGAGGAGTGTTATACTTCCAATTATGTGGTCAATTTTAGAATAAGTGTGATGTGGTGCTGAGAAGAATGTATATTCTGTTGATTTGGAGTGGAGAGTCCTGTAGATGTCTATTAGGTCTGCTTGGTCCAGAGCTGAGTTCAAGTCCTGAATATTCTTGTTAATTTTCTGTCTTGTGGATCTGTCTAATATTGACAGTAGGGTGTTAAAGTCTCCCACTATTATTGTGTAGGAGTCTAATTCTCTTTGTAGGTCTCTAAGAGCTTGCTTTATGAATCTGGGTGCTCCTGTATTGGGTACATATATATTTAAGATAGTTAGCTCTTCTTGTTGCATTGATCCCTTTACCATTATATAATGCCCTTCTTTGTCTTTTTTGATCTTTGTTGTCTTAAAGTCTGTTTTGGTAGAGATTAGGATTGAAATCCCTCCTTTTTTTGCTTTCCATTTGCTTGGTAACTATTCCTCCATCCCTTTATTTTAAGACTGTGTGCGTTTTTGCACGTGAGATGGGTATCCTGAATACAGCACACTGATGGCTCTTGACTCTATCCAATTTGCCAGTGTATGTCTTTTAATTGGGGCATTTAGCCCATTTACATTTAAGGTTAGTATTGTTATGTGTGAATTTTCTCCTGTCATTATGATGCTAGCTGGTTGTTTTGCCCGTTAGTTGATGCAGTTTTTTCATAGTGTCGGTTGTCTTTACAATTTGGTATGTTTTTGCAGTGGCTGATACTGGTTTTTCCTTTCCATATTTAGTGCTTCCTTCAGGAGCTCTTGTAAGGCAGG